AGCAGCAGCAGCAGTAAGCAGTAGCAGACCTTGGTGATCCTCAGTGGCAGTAGTAGCATTGCCGTAGGCTGCACCCTTCTCCATTCAGCAACCATCGCGTCGTGGATGGTGTGACGCGATTCCTGGAACACAGCACACTTGACCTTTTTATTGCTGTTCTGCTGAATTGCTTTTATTTGCCCGGATCGGTGCTGGGGTAAAGCACGTTTTCGCTGCTGGATCTGCTGCTGCGACGTCGATCCTGGCCGAGTAGCTTCGTCCGTTGATTGCCCCCTTACAGAGAGGGTCGCTTCATGTTCTCTGGATAGGTCCTTCCGCAAGCCTTTCAGCCAATATCAACAGAGTCGACCCGGGAAAACACACTTTCATGGATTTTTGCAGCAACTTAAATTCTTTTTCAGTATGGCCTTGAAGTGTCCTCTTCTTGTCTCATAGGCGCATACAGAGGAGGGGAGGTCGCAGGCACCAGTGCTACAGAAGGCTGGGTCTAAAACTAAAATTGAAGAAAACTCTCTTCCGTACCCCCCACCCCCTCTTTTCCCTGTCCTCCTTCCTCCCACAGTACTTCAAGCTACTGATGCTGCTGCGCTTGCTGGTCTTCGTTTCGTAGCCGCTAATTGCTGAGCTTATTGAATGTTCTTGTCCAGCTAGTTTCGTTGCCGAGTTTTCTGGCGCTTTTCCTCTGCAAAAGGGAGAAATTGCTTTTTTCCTAAGAATCTAGGTATCAGCCCAGCCCCTAGAGTGCCTGGGGAGTGCTCCTTCGAGTTTTATTGACCGTCACACACACTGTGACCGACTAGCGCTTCCCAGCTGATGATATTCATGCGCATTGCTTTAGTGTTGCCTGAATTTTACTCCTTCCGACGGCTGAAATTTGCTTTCCTTCACTCATTTGGTTATATTTTCGTTATATTCGGCGTTTCTTACTTACTTTATGTATGCATTTTTGAGCCTCATTCTCTCCTTCGGATTACAGTGCGTTGTTGAAAAGTTGGTCGAATGTGTAACTGCTCCGTCGCGACGTGTCTCATTTTGCTAAATGTGAAAAAGTACATGCATTTGTTGTAGATGGAAGGTTTCCCGGTTCCCAGTGAGAAAAGCATGCAAAAAATTGTTCAAAATCGGAAGCGGCATGAGCACGACGCACTGATTCGATCGCAGTGTTTCAAGAATCCGGTCGGAAAAGCTCGTAAGTGTGCCCGTACTTCACAGTATTCCAAAATGTCGTTTCATCGCCCAGCTCCTTCATAATATCGATGTTTGGTAGCAACCGTTTCTTAGTAAGCCGATTGTTACAATCAGTTTGATCCTGGAAGTCTAAATGGCGAAGGCGCGATAAATTACAGCAAGAAAGAACAGTATGAGAAAAGAAGGTAAGAATGAAGTAAGACGTTTCGGTCCAGTAAATCATATACGCCTTAACTCAACACCGCGACAGGACCTTGTCAGGATGAAAAGGGAAGAAAAAGATTTTAAAATCTTAGAAATTTTTTAAGAAAATTAGTAAATTGCAATTGGAAAATCAGTTAAAAGTTAGTAA